TGACAGTAAGAAAAAAATAAATCCTTCATTTCTTTAGATTTTGCTTCCTTACAAGACTTTCTAGTCATGTTTTAAAGTAGTCTTCAGCAATATTTCTCCAGGCTTCCTGAAAGTTTTCTTTGGACATTGGCTACTTTTTGCACACATTTTTGATCCAGTCCTTGTAGCTGACCATTTTCAGAGGAATATTTTTGCTAAGCCACTTGTTCAGGGATTAAAAACGGAGCTAACTCAAGGAATGAACCAGTGCTGTGTCTACACTTTGCAAAGAACCAGTTTTAAATTGTATCTTTAGGCGATGTTATTACTAGCAGCCTGTCGCAAAAACACATTTGTTTGACTGTCTTTGCTTGAATCTATGAAAAATGCCAAATCATGTTGACAGGCATAAAATGGTTACTCTGCACCAACGATGTAATTCCTATTAGCCATTTGCCGGGGTCTTTTCAGTGTCAGGTGCAGTGTGGTCTTAAAAATTTTGAGGAAACTGGACAAGCAGAGGAAAAAAGTGACAAGTGTTAGGCCCCCAAAAATAATATCTAGAGCAGATGAACAGTATCTGCAAGTCATAAGAAGCCATAAGAAGAAGGGAAAAATGCAGCAAAGGACATGAGAGATGCATCTGGACCTTCACTTAATTAATCTGCTGTTCACTGAAGCCTCATCAGAAATGGTCCCGGTTGAAGGTGTGTGGTAGATGAAAAGGCAGGGCACAACCAAACAAGAAGCTTTGAATGTCCTTCAAGAAGCCCAGAGAACTATTCCTGAAGACTATTTAGAGACATGACAAGATTGCCCAAGACAGCTAAGTCTGTGTTGAAGAATAAAGTTCGTTTTTACCAATTATTGACTTTCAGACTTATTAGAATTGCAAAAACTCTTTTTACATTTAAATAGTGTTTTGCATAAATTGCTGCACCTATTTCCCATTTTCCAAGCAAAGTATAAAGAAATGAGGGGTGGCTTGAAACTTTTGCACAGTAGTAGTTACCATGTTGCTCCATTTTGGTAATCACCAAATTAGAAGGGGTTAATTGATTAGAGCTTTAATTTAAAAGGGGCTTTATCCCATTAAGATGTGTTTACTTTTAACTTTTTTAATTTAACTTTAAAACTTTAGCCAAAAGTTGTTTTTTGTGCCCTGGTGTGAGCTTTAGGTCGACAAGAAGAAAACCCTGATAATGTCAATGGGTTTGGAGTCGGCATTATAAAATCAATGATGGAATTTGAAAGCATTGTTTACTCGTCATGGAGGGTTTCACCAAAGACAATAACAATTTGTATCATGGGAAGTGGTGCCTTTAAAGCTTGACAGATATAGGGAACTAAAGGTCACATCTCATATCTCAGCCACTGCCACACCAATATAGCTTCTTTATCTAACTGTTGTGAGTACTTTGCAAGCACAGTAGTAAACTGTATATCCCTCCAGATTCCATATAATATCTACTTTACGTTGTGCTGTTTCACACCATTGAAATAACTGCTGATTGGCACACGCACCTTCGACCTTTGGTGTAGCACATTCAGCCGGTGCACGGCCTGAATAGTTTTAAAAAGCAGCAAACTAGGGCCCAATACGGATAAATCCATTACATGCTATTGCTACAACCTGTTTTACCTGAGACAAGTTTGATTTGTGGACTTGCACTCATACCCAGGGTGAGAAATTTTAACTGACATTACTTTCCAAATTTAGATTTCCATACTTTCCTATCTCAGTGTCAAAAAAGAAACAAGATCCAGTCTGTGGGCAGAATGAGCACAGCTTGAAATACCACTCCATCAGCAGAGACCTTTGATGTCTGATGTTCTTTAATGAAACATCTCACTCACATCACAGCACCCTATTAAATCCCACTCATACAGGGAGACAGGTAAAGAGTGAGAGTAAGAAAGCCAGATCAGGAGACCGCTGACCTTTGTGTGCATGCGTGGGAGAGAGTGTAGAAAAAGAAGGGAATAAAACACCACTGGCATCAGACGCACCATGAGTTCAAAAATCTGATTTCAAAACAACTTTATTGCAGTTCTTCGTTATATAAAACATATCTAGTTACATCACAGCTTGTTTTGTGTACAGCGTGTACTAAAGTATGAAGAGTCAAAATTAAATTAACTTTATATTTTGATTTAGTTTACATCTTTATCATACACTAGTGGGTTCCACTAAAAAAACAGTTTCATTGCCTGCAGACAGTAATGCACACAGTGCAATAGTCTGATAAACAGCAGTCACCTAAATGGACCCATGAAAAGAAGGCAGCTAAGCAAGGCAATAGAAAGAAGGCCTAATGTGATAACATACAATAGCACATATCCCAGTAAGTGCACAGTGGTGGTTTTATCCCAATAAAATTCCCAGACAAAGTTGCAAAAACCTTTTTTTTTTTTAAACTACATTTAATAGTTTAACCAACAAGTAACCAGTAATGTGTGATGTTACCATCTCTTTGTTTTTAGTTGTGAGCACTTGAGCAACCAGTTGCATAGAGCCAACATGAAAGGGCGCCTGTTCTCACATCAACTACTTTATAACTGTTGGAAAGTAGCATCATTTATGGTTTTACAAGATTTTGCTCTGTTTCAAAGTCTTGCGCTTGACTCTCTCTTTGCATAAAGAGTGCTTAAGTTTCTACGTGACAACAGCAGCTAAGATGGCGAACTAATTCATTTAGCATCAGATTGATAATCTGAAAAGATAGCGAGCGTTAACCTTTGACTCTGGATATGACAGTTAACCAAAATGCAAATGTAAGCGCACAGAAATTGGACCAAACACCAGGAAAAGCATTGGTGGAAAAATGTAAATAAAGGTTTAAAAAGTTTAACTTGGATTTAACTTCCATGGCTTGTTACCTTTTTAGATTCCCATCACAAAATTAAAAAGGGATTTAATTTTGTTTTATATTATCTTTCTGAAATTATACTGTATGAACATTACATACACAAAATTAATGCTCGTTAATGAAAAATAACGTTAAATCAAGCTTTTTAAAAGCTAAAATGTTCATGTGTTTTAAGATGTCTGACAGAAAAAAGGTACCAATTATTGCATTAGTTACATTTGTGCGTTTGGTCATCTATAAAAATTTCTCACAAGACATCCTGCACATATTTGTCTGCGGTCTACCATATTGGACATGATACAACCACCAATCTCTGAGTAAAAAGTTTAGCGTATAGTTGCTATAGTTTGTAACTGGTTGCAAAGGAGGGCAACCAAGAGCTTTTTAGCAGTGATTTTCTTTGGTTGCAAGCCCGTACTTTTCATGATGCCAGCTTTTTTTTAAAAATAAATATTAACTCACTGCTAGCCAAGCGGCAAAACTCGCAAAAGTGCAAAGCAAACCAGAAACAAAATATTTGCCTTCATAGTAAAAGTGCCTCAGTGCTACAGCAAACACATTTAATTAAGTGCAGATTTTCTTTACAAGGTCAACAGCTTCAATTTCGGTTCGTATCATACTTTTAACGGCCTTACTACCGCTTGGAGAGTAGTTGGCAAACTTGCATAATCCATGCAAATTACCGGTGAACGATATCTTCTACCTATCAAAGCACTGCTAAGGAGGTTTTGTCCAGCTGGTCAGGGATATCTTCCCTAGTGACTGGTGGTTTCCAGGGAGTCACTAACTGATCTCCTGGTCTGTGTGACTAAGGCTTTAATCGTTTGACCCTATGTTGTAACCATAAATGTCACACATCCAAAATGGGGGACAAACAAACATCCCACTGTTAGTGATCATGTGTCTGCAAAAACCTCAGTAACAACAAATCTGAAGCATCTCAACTATGGTGAGACACCATCTGAAAAATGGCAGCTATGAGCCCCTAAGTAATAAAATCCAAATTATCATCATCACTGGCATCTTCACACACGCACGCACGAATCCCGAAGGACCTGCAGAAAACCCACTTTTACTTTAATCACATATACATGGACCCTCATGTATTATTACCATACACACAGTTTTATATAATCACTGTAAAAATAAAAGCTTCTTCTTATTTGCTGGCGACCGTTCTCCTGTGATATCAAGACCAGCTTGACCTCAAACAAAAAGAAAAAAAAAAAGGAAAAAGCTGAATAAGAGCAATTGCAAAGCAAAGCAATACATTATCTCTAATGATGTTAACAATGGATAATTTTAGCTAATCCCAGGTGATGATTAAACTGTTGGTAGTTTAGCCAGAGACGAGCAGAACTCAGAGCCACAGGTGCAGCGCAGCGGTGCTCAGACACACCAAATCACTTAGCAACCACTTTGCCTTATCACCCAGCAGTCACCGGGGTCCTGTTAGTGTATTAGCAGGGTACTCAGTCCTTTTCATTAGTGCCCCTGGCTCATATCTGCTTCCACCTGGGTCACAGATGAAATGATTTTTTTCCCCCCTTTTCCCCCTAAAAGGAGAGATTTGTTTTTTCCTTTTAGCCTTGCTACTTTTTTCTCCACTCTTTTCAGTTTATCAATGTACTTCACAGGGATTATTCTTCATCCTTCTTACAGAGCTGCATCTCCTTGGCTCTCTGTCCATGCTGTGTAGGGAGAAATCCCATTTATATTCTCCTTCATGGCAGGGTAAAGACCTTCTGGGATAGTTAAGTCCAGTTTCATCTGTTTGTGCGTGTGTCTGTGTGGACTCCCCTGCTTCAGATCCTTTGAGCTTAGACATCTTAATTTCCCAAAAAGTACAAATACAAAACCTGACATTTTGGGTTTCAATGCGGCAGCAGTAGTCACATCATATCTCTGCTTACTTCAAGCTCTATGAGGCAATTTTGTACCTGAAAAGCCCCAAATGTCAAAGGGGAAATGACTAGTTGACTTGAAAACATGTGATGAAACTTTTCCTTGGATTTAAATGTTCCATCCTCTTAATGGGATGCTGAAGTGCTTTTTAGCTTTGCATTTTTCAAATAACACCTTTAACCCTGGAGAACCCATGGGGTCAAATTTGACCCCATGGGTTCTCCAGGGTTAAATTTCATTCCCCCTTTTTTTTTTTTGCATGGATAGGAGGCAAGGAGACATCAGCATTTAGGATTTAAACTGATATGACGAATGTGTTTTTTCCAGGAAACTTTGCCAAGTTCAACTAAGTTGTTTTTGAACAGCTAAATGTCCTCTTCAGCTCTCAATCCACTGACTAGTCTGTGGTTGGCTCCAAGGCACTGAGGGTACACGGGTCGTCCGACACACACTGCTGCTGCTGCTGTTCCTCAATACCACGGGCAAACAGCCTGATCAACTGGCACTGGACACTGCAGAGATAAAGACACACACAAAATGCACCATTTAGCCTGAATAACAAACCATCAACTTAATGACTATGTTCTTTTCTGTGAGACTTTACTGCCCATGTGGCCGCAGAAGCAACGGAACGGCACCCCTGTGTTAGGACTCGACACGCAAACTTGAAAGAGACAGTCTGACACGCAGAAACCTTTAAAGTGCCGCCTATAACAGATGGAGTATATGCACAGAAAAAAAGCTGTAAAATGGCCAGTGTGTTGTACAGTCTTAATTACTACCTGTGCCTTTTTCTCCTAAATGATACCTATATTTACGTCAGAACACCTGCTGTTTTCTTGGAGGCGTAAGCAGCAGTTAATATAATGGTTTATCTCCAGATTCTATTTATACATGAAATGAAAACACAAAATCAAGCAGAGGCATCTTCAGGTTGTAATTACATAAAAAAGGTACCTTAGCTTGTTTGTAAGTATTTGTCTTTATCACAGTTGTGCCTTCAGTTTAACTTTTGCTAAAGATGTACTTCCTACATCGCACTCTTTTTTTCCCCCTCCAACTTTCCTTCCGTCGCACCCGGGCTATTACCATTTATTATCCAAGCAGCACTCTGGCTGGCTCACTCCAAGAACGATTAGTGGCGAGGAAGAGGCAATAAAAGGACGGACTTCTGCTTTAATTAAAGGGGAGTAGCCTTTTAACATGGGGAGGGCCGTTAAATTAGCAACATTACAGCGCCATGCATCATTGGCAAAGTACAATGGAGCATGAAATAAATGATGCGTCAAGCGGTGCCACGCCGGCTGTATAGAGATCTGATAGCGGGGAAAGCTGAAGTGTGGACAGGGCCAGAATAATGAGGGGGGCTAATTCCATTGAGTTGCCAAGATTGTACAGCGGGGAACAGTGAAAGACTCTCCTGACCAGAAACTATTGGACACTAGTGGTGATAATGGCACTGCTGCTCTCGCTTCTGTCTCGCCACACAGGAGGACATCTTTATCACCAGCCCTTCTTTTATATTGACAATTTAGCTACACACAGAGTATTGTCGTTGTTAGATCTTTAAATCCTCTACATGTTTGTTCCTGCTTTTTCTTTCCAAATTCAAGTTTTCTAATATAACTCCTTAGCATCTAACACATCACTAGAATCCTCTTTCGTTTTTAGCCAAATAGTAAAACTGTAGATTTGGGCATTATAGTTTCTTTGCTAAAAACCCTTCCTTTTGCCTGTACCTCTAACCCTAGATGGGTCACTGACAGATATTAAAAGTTTGGATAGCTTGTAGCCAAGCTAGCATTGCCATGCGAACATGTTATCAGCCTAATAAGGCCTCGGTCACTTAGGCCAGCGGGCCATGGACCGATACTGGTCTGCGAGTCGTTTGGTACCGGGTCATGAGAGTTGAGGCTCAGGTGTGAAATTGATGGTTTTCAGGGTTTTTTCGTTATTTTTGATCGTTTTTATCGTTAACTCAGTTTCCCTGGGTCTTTTCCCTTGTGCTATGAATACATTTTCTTTGTTTTGGTACTGGTACTGGTTTTATTTTGTTGTATTTATCCGCAACTCCTTAAAGGCCAGCTTGTGAAAATATTGTGGCGCAAAAAAGGTTGGGGGCCACTGACTTAAGCCTGGAGCCCAGTTGGTAAGTCCCTGGCAATCTCCGCTAACTAGGAAAAAATGTGCATTCCCCAACCAGTTTTCTACTTGTCGAGTAGTTTGGTATCTTCCATGTTAACTAAAGTGACTGCAGCTAACTCCAGAAACCACTTGCAAACAGTTGAGGAAAACTCTCCCGACTGATGGTTGCCAACTGGTCTCCATGCCTGTGTGACTAGAACCTAAGGTCCATGTTCACCATCCTAAAACTCAGTCCACTTAAGCAGTCATCACTTTGTCAGCGGCAGCTGCTCTTTAGAGGACATTTCAGGATCTCGTTAGTTAGGTAAACCTTTTGTATATTGCCCACCCTCTAATATGCCAGTCAAAGGTATTCTTTGCTTGCACTGTTAGACACTTCTAGGTCTCTGGTCATCAGTCTGCTGACCTGTTCTGGCATGTAACCATACTAATGTTTAACAATTCTCACTAAAAACAGTTATCTAAGGCTGATCTGAATGTCTCGATCTTTAATGGCTAAAATCCAGGATTCACAGAAGTCATTGGGATCAAGGAACATGCATGTCTGAACAGCTTTTCACAGCCATCTACCCAGTACCTTTAGGTGTTTCAAAGCCATAAACGACAAAGGCGAAAAGGCAAAGTCACGGTCACCCAAGTCCACAGGCTTTTTTCTACGATTTCAGTTTAGATCAAAGCAGCGGCTAAAAGTTGTACATCTGAGTTTTACTTCAGTGCACTGTGAATACAGAGTTGTCAGGCATACAGAACATAATCTGTTTCTACTTACGCTTTAAGACATAATACTCAGGAACATTTGGGGCAATTTAAGCCAAGATTACAGCTTAATACCCAAAAGGAAAGTCTTTACCACAAATATCCAGCCATGATGATGCAATAGGTATGAGCCCTGCACGTATTTCAATACTTCATCCATTATACTGCTCCTACAATATTATGTGCTTCAATTCAGAACCATTTGCCAGTCGTCATCTATGCCGAGTGATCCAGGCCCGTCTTTACCGCTCCGCCGCACAGAGTTCATTTTTAGTGACAAGCTTCATAAGACGGTAAAAAGAAGTTATCGAGGTTTGCTCCTCTTTACCAGGCAAAGTAGAGTTTAAAAGCATTAAAATGTCTAATATATGAGCAAAACATTCATCACAACTTATAAATAAAAATGCATTTTATTGTTTTTCCAGTGTTGGTTTCCCCAAGTTTGAGAGATTTCTTTTCTTTTTTCTTTTTTTTTTTTAAACACCTTAGTCTATTCCAGGCAATTTCACATGTTCACTGCAGTCACCAAACGTTTCTATAAATCACCCAGAGGATCTTATACGAGTATGCAAATATGCATCTAAGTAGACCATGTAACTGTACTGAAAGTCTTCCTTTTGGGGTTTAACCTCTTACCACAGAGGTTTCTTTGGTCCGGATATTCCCAGGTATTTAACCCCTAGTGGGATTTTCCGCTTGGAGGTGGTCCTCAGAGTTAATGACCCACCTTGTAATCATTTGAGTCTCGGAAGGGGTGTCAACATTATAGGTGCCACCTATAACGCTGCCCTGAGAGTCTGAGATTAAGACTACCATGACCTGGATGACATCATTCCTCACCTGAGCCAAATGCAGTATTTCTACAAGTCAGACCTTGGTTGAATCTCTTATGATGCCTCGTAGTGTACGTCGCACAATTGTCTGTGCAGGCACACATGATTCTGTTGTCATTTACCTGACTTGAATGGCAACCTCAGGCAGGATCTCCCCATCGCAGCTCCAGCTGCCAAGGGGAGTGCTGTAGCCAGTCTTTGTTGCAGGCTCACTCAGGTCTTCCAGTGAAACCAGTATGTGGCGCTCTGGCTCGAAGCGAAACTTCCTCACCCGGTGGACCTCTACAAAAGGGTGGTCAAACTGGGGGAGAAAGGCAGACCCACATGAGAAATGATGAAAGGGGAGAAGACGGACAGATAAGATAGACAAAAGAACAGATGTTCTCACAGATGCTGCAGATGTTATGCTCCCGGATCACCTGTAAAGGTTTCAAAGTGAGCAGCTTGAGAGCCGACACAAGAGCTCATCTTTGTTTTAGTGCTCGACTAAATCAAGGTTTCTTCATTCAGAGTCACAAGGAAATAAGACGTACTGAACAGTGAGGATGGAAAACAGCATTTTAGAAAAAGAATTTCTAATTAGAATTTCCTCATAATAAGTGTCTCCACCAAATTTTGAACTACAGCTCAATATATAATGTATAAATGCTTGTCTAACAACAATAAATGAATGATTAACCCTTGATTATGGGGAACGGAGCCTTCAGTCGCTCTGCTCCTTGGCTCTGGAAATCTCTGCCTCCAGCAATAAGAAATAAACTCTCTTCCTGCATTTAAGTCCCAGCTCAAAACATCTGTTCAAACTGGCTTATTCACTTTAGTGCTGATTTTATCTGTTGTCAAGTTCTGTTTTGCAATTTTAACTTATTTTATGTATTTTATGACTGTTGCACCTTTTATTAATTTTGTTCTTTTGTAAGGTGACCTTAGGTTTTTGAAAGGTGCCCTCAAATAATATGTATTATTATTATTATTAAAGTTTCACAGAGCAAGCACATCTACTATCACATGTCCCGTTTTTCCTAACACATGATAACATTATAGCCATAATGATTTACTGACATTTTATTGGAAGTTAAAAAACAATGGCATGAACAATCTTAAGCTGTTTTACTACACAACCATCTGTAACCATAACAACTGTTAAACACTGTTCTCACTGTTACAGTACATCATAAAAAAAAAAAAAAATCCTCGTAACTCCTGTCTACAGTGATCAAAATTTATTCAACATTCATTAACAGAACACTAAACAGACAAAGAAATGCTTATGACACATTAGCCTGGTCGTTGAAAGAGGTTGTAGAGACCTTGCATATGTGGGGCATCCACACTTTTCCCCACATTCACTGCAGCTCAGGTGCTGTTATAATATTATGGATGTGCCAATCACGCGTATGATCGTCGTTTTAATCTCAGTTTGCTCAAAATAACGGCAACTAGTTCATGTTTTGGACAGTTTAGTCAGGTTCTTGTGCTTACAGGCACACCTCTTGTAGCGGTAAGGCATCTTCTGACCTCTGCATGACCTCATTTTGTGCACCATATTTCATACAGGAAGCTGTTTGCACTTCACTGACTGTTAGATTTGTGTTGTGCTGTCATTTTTTCCCCCGCCTGCTCATTTCTTTATGTGTACTATAAGACACACACTCCCTGTCATTCTTCATTTCCATTTGCTGTGCAAATGTACAAACCATTCATATGCAACACAAACCCCAGGAAACAATGCCGCTGTTGTGTTGTACATTATCATTGTCGTTATTATTAAATCCTTTATTTGAACAGTCTCACTGATATTGCAATCTCTTTTTCCGGCTATATATCAAAACTGCACTTTATGAGTGATCACAAATTAAGAACAACGTTGAAATATCCCAGAGACTGCTTTGTTTTCCTCAATTATAGCGAAGTATTTAAATCCAGTTTTTTCAAGTTCGGCATGAATAACACGCACAGCTCAAGTTAAAGTGTCCTGTGACCCGATATTCTAAGCACCGTCTTTAAATTTGATTAAGGAGCAGAGGCAAGCAGGCAGTCTTTGCAGCAGGGCCTTGTAAATAAACATGATAGAGAGGACCCCCCCACTTTTCCATACACGATGCCACAGCGAGTAAGAAAAGAATCGCCTGTAATAAATCGCGATGGACCGTGACACACAGAATCGAGGCTTCCAGGTGGATAAGAAGCATGCATGCAAACAATATCACCGTAATCAAGTGCAGACAAAACAGTGGATTGAACACTGACCTTACGACCTGCGAATGAGAAACAGGATTCGTTTCTGTATAAAAACCCATGAAAGGCCCTTTATGCTGTTTCACTTTTCTAAAATACCCCTGCGATCTTTCAAAGCCCAGCAGGTGCCCATCACTGCAGGAACCTGGGCAAGTATGGTAGTGGGAACGCAGACGGGTCCCATGACTTTGTCAAGGTCCTCGTTGATCTCTGTCTACACTGCCCCAAACCAAGACCTCTTGTTTCCTGAAGATTTCTCAAACTGATGGATCCATCAGGAGAAACTTGGAGTTCACCATCTAGTTCAACATGCATACTGGAGGAGCTGGGGATCAAACCACTGACATTCTGATTGGTAGGTGCCCCATTCAGGGCAGGGATAGCTCAGTAGGTAGAGTGGTGGCCCCATGATTGGAAGATCGGGGGTTCAAATCCACTGAACGGCTACCCTGAGGCACCCCTGAGCAAGATACCGTCCCTACACACTGCTCCCCGGCGCCCAATTGCTGCTTCACTGAGTGAATGGGTTAAATGCAGGGAGGAATTTCCCCACAGGGATCAATAAAGTATACATTATTATTATTCTACCACCTGAGCCACAGCCCCATCCAGTGATCAGAGAATCCCATTTTCCTGAAAAATTACACTTAAATTTAGTTTACAGGCTCCTTGTGTGTAGAGTAAATATTGTATTTTTCCTACTGTCTTCTTACGGAACGTCCTTATATCAACATGTGGGCCTTTTTTCCTTCTTTTTCCAGTGACAGATGTAAACAGGCAAAAGAGAGAGATGCGGGTCAGATAACATGCAAGTGCATGAAAACTGTGTGAACGCTGGAGGAGTGAAGGAAAAGAGAAAAGAAAGATGAAAAGAAATTATTTTGTCAAAAATCCCCTTTCATCTCCGTCAGTGTTGCAGAAAGCGCACGGACAGAGCTGAACCTATTTTCTTAAACTTCACAGGGTGCCACTTTCTCTCTAAACTCCTCTCTGTTTTGTCTTGCTTTCTTTCCGTACCTTCCTCCCCTCTCTTTCTGACCCTCTCTCATCCTGAAAGTGGAGTGAAAGCCATTTATTTCACATCAGACCCGCTTTATGACTGCAGCCGCTTTGCATTCATGCTGGATGGTCTGCCTAAAAGGCTTTCTGACAAGGCCATGAATACGCTTAGTGGCTTCTCACTCCTTGTTTCTCTCTGCTTGGCTGGACAGTGATGCTGATATTAGCTGAACTCTGACGCAAAGTCCCGATCACCCTACTCATACTCGTCTCCTGTTCTGTGCCGCAAGTAAAGCGGCAAAGACAGCCTAGAGATGCAGCATGTCATCATTTTTCGTTGCCATTATCACATTCAGACATCTGCGATTCCTGGACGGTGGTTAACGAGACTTCTTTTCTTTTCCTTACACAGCTGTGACAAGTGAGTGTGTAATATAAAACAAGCTTTAAACAGCAATGCTAGCTTATCAAGCTCAAATAGCCAGGGCTAACATGCTCTCTGAAACATACTTCTATGTCAACATCTACTTACTATGATGATCGTAGCATGTGTGTATATATGGACCTGTATGTACCCGTACCTCCTTAACAGACGGGCAAACAAACTAACCCCCCAGAAAAAATGTGCAAACTCCATCACACACACACACACAGCAGTTATTAATGTCTCTATGTTTTTAAAATTTCCCTTATGTGCCATTCAATGTGTGTTGCCCGTATGCAACACACTCGAATTTAGTTCGAGTTATCATTAAACACAGAATTTAAAACATTCTGTGTAATCATGTAAAACAAACCAGTTGCTTGATTTGCAAACATTAAAAGGGAGGGAAATGTTGAAAACTGCTAAATAAACATCATGTATCATTTCATTAATAATTAAAACCAAGTGAAAATTCTGTTTGTTTTGTACCTTTACTTTGTAAAGGTGATTCAATGATCCGTGAATAAAAACGGAGCGGCATTAGTTGCACAGTCATTCAAACTGTGAATTCCCCAGCTCATGGAATAATAATGGCAATCTTATTAGTACCATATATTCAATGTTTTTAATGATAATTATTTTTTTAAATTAAGACACTGTGGTACTCTTGGTAATAGTGGTATTTGATTATAATTGATAGTTGCTGATTGTTTGGAAAAGTTGCTGATTGACAAATAAATATTCATTAGTTACATTGTTTGTTGTTGAAAACAGAAACAAAGAGCGACTTCTCCATTTGGGAAATTGGGACAATCGAGCATCGCGCTACCGTTTGCTAATTAGACCCAGACAAATCGGAGGTAATAGATAAACAGAACCAAACTGTGTCCCATTGCTAATATCTTGCTTTTGACTCTCAGCGTTTGGATTATAGCATTCAGGGGAAATCCTCAGCAGTCAAAGTCATTTTAATTCCTACATTCAGCAGCATTGCCAGTGAAGGCTGGTAATTTTATGTTGTGCATGCACATTTCTCTGAGTCATCTAGATGCTAAAATATTTAATTGGGACTGGAGACACGCTTCGTGTCACTCGGAGCAGCAAAATCTTTCCCTTTGCTTGATAATTTCACTGTAACAGCACCCGCCTCTGCGCTCTGCTCTGAATACCATTTTCTTTACTTTATCATCATCGAAATGTTTGCCTTTCTGTGCCGCTGTATAATGTCAACTTTAAAACTGGAAATCTATCAAATCATCGAATCAAACCACATCACAGGTAATATTTTACCTTTGTGATTTAAATATCAGGGCACAACTGAAAAGGAAAATCTGACATTTAGAAATCGCCTCACGATGCCGGCTTGGGCTAAAAACACTGGAAATTCACACTTTTACCAAGGAAGCCGGTGCAGATAAAATTACTTGAGATCCCTCTGAATGGGATAAACTTCCTGTGGTCCTTCCTGAGGTAATAATTACTAATCACTAGACTACCCCTGGTAATACTTGTACTATCCTGTGAGGGCATTAGTCTGGTATGAGCCTGCTCTCCCATACAGTGTATCCCTGATGCAGCGATTACCGGTGCCTCTCTGGACTAGGGTGGAGGTTATTTATGATACGTGGGAAGGCATAAGGGCTAAGGCATTTGAACTAAAGTGAACCAGAGTTGAGAAATTGAGCAGAGTCAGCAAAGGGAGGTGCTAGCACAGCAAGTGGGCAAACTCTTCCTTCTGCTTACTCGATTACAGGCTCAACACACTCAATCCATCTGTGCACAGACTGGAAAGTCATCATGTTGAACTCGATGCTGTGCGTAGTGTTTAACACGATGATTGACAGAGGACTGCTTCACTGTTATCTGAAGATTCCTTCTGTTATCCCTGCTGGATCCGAATTGCAGTCTTTTCCATTCAGTAAGATTACGCACAGCATGCCCCGTGCTTTACATTTATCGACAGTTTAGGCACATTAGGGGAAAAGCATCTTAACTGCTGCATGCCTATTAGGTAATAGCAAGTGCATTGAGATTTGATTGCACACAGCGCAGCTGCGTACGCCCACCTGATCGTCTTTGTTGGTGTGTCGAAGAAGGTGTTTGAAGAAGTCCAGGCGGGAGCAGTTCCTCACCAGGATCAGGTCTGCATTGCCGTCAGCGAGGTGGGCGAAGGGTGACAGGCCTTTTGGACTTCGAGGACAAGCGCAGCTCATGTTGGCTGCGTTAATGGCAATAAACTTTCCATGGATTTCATTCCAGTCACTGCTGTCATCTGAAACCAACATCAATGCATTTAGGTTTACAAGTAAGAACAGACTAGATGAGGTGAAGTCATTCATACACAGATGTTACTCCTCAAGCTGCAGTTCCTCTGATGGCCACTTGAGGCTGGCTCCAAAGGTGAGTCAATCCACACAGACTGATGTTAAAGTGCACGACTTTAGCTATAAAAAGAACGTCTTTGCAGCCCGTTTACATACACTTTTCCCCTTCTTAACATCTTTAAGGCAGTGTATTTTTTTTTTAAATGACCCATCTGTTTGGATTTAGTTTGAGTGTAGCCACTTTGACCGTCACGTGTGTCAACAGAAGATAAAACTGTTTCAGCAGTCTGTTGCTCAGCGCTGACTAAAAGATGTGTGTGTCTGCGAAGTGCACCTATACAGTTTATGGTTGCAGTTTGCAAGCCAACTTGGAAGTCAGCAAATATGGTGCTTTCCAGCTTAAACTTGTGCAGTTAAGAAATCAAAGGGTACAGTTGATGCATGTGTTATATATAAGTGTGTTAGGTGTTACATGCAGTCTGATTGCAAAACTGTGGGCACAAAGCAGCTTAAGCTGCAAATTATTCTGTGACAGTTGCAAAGTAAACTTACATGTAAACACTATTAAATTGTGCGATTACTGTTGATTTGCATTACCTGTAATGCAAAACAACCATAATTACCCTTTTGTGATCGTAAGAGGCACGCAACCCAAACAGTACTTTTCACTTTAAACACACCTTTGCAGAAGAGTTCAGTTTCATATCAATGCAGCAGAGAGATATACTGCCTTTAACTCAGAGTTACGTGAACTTTACGCATGGCAGTCTTCTCCAATGAAGTTTGGACACCTAAGCATAAATTCATCCAAATTTCCAGAATTACTCCTGGAATTACTTTGGTAGAGCGTGCAGGAGATGGGCCACTTCTCCTCTCCAGCTCCTCACCTGACACACCTGCTCCATTTCCACACAAGCGCAACTGGACATCAAATAGGTTTACACACTAG